TGGTATTCGATGCCATTAGCCCAGATTTGGATAGGGTCTCTCACAGTATTCTTGCCGCCAAGTTAAAGAAGTATGGGCTGGATGAATGGACTGTAAGGTGGATAGAAAGCTGGCTAGATCGTCGGGCTCAACGGGTAGTGATCAACAGCTCCATGTCTAGTTGGCAGCCGGTTTCAAGCGGAGTGCCCCAAGGGTCGGTCCTGGAGCCGGTTTTGTTTAATATCTTTATTAATGATCTGGAGGATGGTGTGGACTGCACTCTCAGCAAGTTTGCAGACGACACTAAACTGGGAGGCGTGGTAGATACTCTGGAGGGTAGGGATCGGATACGGAGGGACCTAGACAAATTACAGGATTGGGCCAAAAAAAACCTGATGAGGTTCAACAAGGACAAGTGCAGAGTCCTGCACTTAGGATGGAAGACTCCTATGCACTGCTACAGACTAGGGACCGAATGGCTAGGTAGCAGTTCTGCAGAAAAGGACCTAGAGGTCACAGTGGACGAGAAGCTGGATATGAGTCAACAGTGTGCTCTTGTTGCCAAGAAGGCTAACGGCATTTTGGGCTGTATAAGTAGGGGCATTGCCAGCAGATCGAGGAACGTGATTGTTCCCCTTTATTCAACATTGGTGAGGCCTCATCTGGAGTACTGTGTCCAGTTTTGGGCCCCACACTACAAGAAGGATGTGGAAAAATTGAAAAGAGTCCAGCGGAGGGCAACAAAAATGATTAGGGGTCTGGAGCACATGAATTATGAGGAGAGGCTGAGGGAACTGGGATTATTTAGTCTCTAGAAGAGAAGAATGAGGGGGGATTTGATAGCTGCTTTCAACTACCTGAAGGGGGGGTTCCAAAGAGTATGGAGCTCGGCTGTTCTCAGTGGTGGTAGATGACAGAACAAGGAGCAATGGTCTCAAGTGGCAGTGGGGGAGGTCTAGGTTGGATATTAGGAAACACTATTTCACTAGGAGGGTGGTGAAGCACTGGAATGCGTTACCTAGGGAGGTGGTGGAATCTCCTTCCTTGGAGGTTTTTAAGGCCTGGCTTGACAAAGCCCTGGCTGGGATGATTTAGTTGGGAATTGGTCCTGCTTTGAGCAGGGGGTTGGACTAGATGACCTCCTGAGGTCCCTTCCAACCCTGATATTCTATGATTCTATGAAATATTAGGAAGTTATTAATATGCCTGCATGTGACTTCTTTTCTAGCACTGCCACCTCCTCCCCCTCCTGAATTCAGCCCAGTGTTCAGCAATGTGGTGAAAGTTCTGAACTGTGATATCATGATGTATATCCTCAGGACTATCCTTCAAAGGGCAGTACAACTGGAGACCCACTTATGGACTGAAGCTATGATCCAGATGGTATGGATTGCATTAGTGTTTTCCTCCTTAATTTGGGTTAACTATTGATGCTAAAACACTCGCTTGTGCGTTTATATGTAAAGACGCAGCACACTACAGTAAACTGTAATCTTGCATATCTCTTGAACATTAGCATAACGTACTAGACTTGATTTGAAAATCATTCTACATTACACCTTAATTAAATAGCACTGGATGACACTTTAAAGTCAGTTATTTATGGTGTTTGGTAGATAAGCATAGACTTGGTAAACAGAATCTTACTTTCTTTCTCTCTCTTATAGTATTACCATTTCCAGTACATTGTATAGTTTTATTTTAAAGGCACATTGTGTTAATATTTCTAAACTTATAAATGTGGTTAACCAGTATTTTAATTGGAAGAAAAGGATCTCTTTGACCCAAAAGGTTGTTTTTATAAATTTTACTGATCCAGCAAAAGGTTTCCCATTATCTGCATCCTCCTCTATAAACTTTAAATGTATTTACAGTAGTAATAAGCACTTTGCAAAAATAAGTATTGCAGTTACATAACTTGACATGTTTAACAGTCTTGCCTTGTCTCATCTCTGAAAGCTGTTTCAAGACAGTTGCGTTGTCTGGTTTTCTGACTTACAACTGCATGTAAAAACAAGCTTGTTAAAGAAGCAAGGTGGGATAACTTGGCTCTGTAACACTGATATGTTGTGATGAAGTGGGAATTTTCCATAATATTTGTATGACCTGTGAGTGTACCTCAGTTTCCCCTGTATGCTGCATTGTTACCCATTGTGTGGAAAAGGACTGTTTACTCTCAGGGCAGACCAAGAGACATTGATATGAATGTCACCTAGCTGTCTGAGCCTGGATGAGACATCTAGCAATCAGAGACCCGAGGGTGATAGATTTCTCCACCTCTCAGCAGGGAAGCTGAACACTATCCCCCAGCTTGAGAACAAAGGAATGGGAAGGTGTGAGGTGGGGGGATAAGAATTGGTTGCTGGAAGGAGTCAGACAGCTTGAACAATGGGGTTCACTACAGCTTGGCCAGGCTGTGGGCTAACCAGAATGGACTTAGCCAATGCTTTAACTTTCCTTTCTCTATGCTAACCTAAGGACTTCCTCTGTGTTCAGTTGACTAATAAACCCTACTGTTTTATTGACACTGTTTGAGCATCACTGCAAATGCTTTGAGGCACATTAATTCATTAAGAGTGAACAATTCATCAGCAAAAGTGCAAAGCTTGTACATGGTTGATGTGAAACATGTAAGGATCAACTAAGCTTAATGCAAGGAAAAAGCAGGGGTCATGCCTAGTTAAGGACACTTGTATATTCTGTGTATGGTTATTGAATCTTCTGATTGAGATCCATGCACTATTGCACTGTGTGATATATTCCTTAAATTCTGCTGTCAATGTGTCCAGTTTTACAGCCCTCTCGTAGCAATTGAGTTTTATAATTTCCATCTTTCACAGGTACTTCACCTCCTTTCTCTGGGCTTACTGGAAGAGAAGCAGCAGCTAGAAAAGGCTCCAGAGGAAGAAGTGACCTTTGACTTCTATCACAAAGCATCAAGTACGTTTCACTTCCTCTGAAGCGGGGAATTAATTATGCTAACTTCTTATTATAAGGACAATATTAGCTTCAAAAGAAAAGTTAAATCATTGTGTTCAGTAAGGATTTATCCTATCTTTATTTACATCATAGCATTCGGAAACTAAGTGAGATTGCTAGAGTTCTGCTTTGCAACAATGGAGAAGCCAGATCAGGAATTACATGTCTATGCTCCGGCTTGACAAGCATAGTGAGGACAGGATGTGCTGGGTCCCAAAGAAGGTGCTAAGAGTAATATTGGTGCCATCTTATTGAAGATAGTTGTGCCCATCTGTGAGGGTTACAGAAGAGGTGCCATATTGGGTCAAACCATTGTCCTGTATCCTATCTCAACAGTGGCCCATACCAGAGCTTCAAGGGGAGGGTACAGAAAATGGCAATTATGGAGTGATCCACCCCTGTTTTCCACTTCCGGTTGCTGGTTGTCAAAGGTTTAGGGTCACCTCAACCATGGGATTGCAACCCTGACCATATCGGCTAAAAGCCATTGATTGACCTGTCCTCCACGATCTTATCCAGTTCTGTTTTGAACCCAGTTATAGTTTTGGCCATCACGAAATCCCATGGCAATGAGTTCCATGGGTTAGTTGTGCATTGTGTGAAAAACTGTACTTCCTCTTGCTTGAATTAAATCTGCTGCCCGTTAATTTCATCAGATGACCCTGGGTTTTGTTTTGTGGGAAAGAATAAATAACACCTCTCTCTCCCTCTCCCCTTTTTCCAGACCATTCATGATTTTATAGACCTATCATATCCTCACTTAATCATCTCTTTCCTAAACTGAACAGCCCTAATCCTTTTAGTTTCTCCTCTTATGGAAGTAATTTCATAGCCTTGATGGTCTTTGGTGCCCTTCTCCAATTCTATAATATCCTTTTTGAGATGGGGCAAGCAGAACTGGACACAGTATTCAATGTGTGGGTGCACCAGGGATTTATAAAGTGGTATTATGATATTTTCTATCGTATTTTTTTTTATCCCTTTCCTAATAGTTCCTAACATATTGTTAGCCTTTTTGACTGCTGAGCGGAACTTTCAGAGAACTATCCACTGTGACTTCAAGATGTCTTTCTTAGATGGTAACAGCTAAATTAGAACCCATCACTATATGCGTATAGATGGGATTATTTTTTCCAATGTGCATTACTTTGCACTTATCAGCATTGAATTTCATCTACCATTTTCTTGCCCAGTCATCCAATTTTGTGAGATCCTTCTGTAACTTCTTGCAGTCTGAACTTAACTATCTTGAATAACTTTTTTAGCTTCAAACTTTGCGATCTCTCTGTTTACTCTCTTTTCCGGATTATTTATAAATATTTTGAACACGACAGGTCCCAATAAAGTTCCTTGGGGGACCCTGCTGTTCATCTCTCTCCATTGTGAAAACTGATAATTTATTCTTACCCTTTGTTTTCTATTTTTCAACCAGTTACTGATCCACAAGACCTTCCCTCTTTGATCTTCTTAGTTTACTTAAGAGCCTTTGATGAGGGACCTTTGTCAAAGGCATTCTGAAAGTCTGTATCGTCTGGATCATCCTTATCCCCATGCTTGTTGACTCCCTCAAAGAATTCCAATAGATTGGTGAGGCATGATTTCCCTTTGCAAAAGCCATGTTGACTCTTCTCCGACAAATCGTGTTTATCTCTGTTTAATAGTTCTATTCTTTACCATAGTTTCTACCACTTTGCCTTTTACTGAAATTAGGCTCTCCAGCCTGTAATAGCCAGGATTGTCTCTAGAACCCTTTTTAAAAACCAACAATACATTAGTTGCCTTCCAGGCATCTGGTACAGAGGCTGACTTCAGTGATAGGTTACATACTATAGTTAGTAGTTTTGCAATTTCATATTTGAGTTCCTTTAGAACTCTTGGGTGGATACCATCTGGTCCTGGTGACTTAAACTAAACAGTAATATCAGTTTGTTTTAAAATCTACTCCGTAGACACATCAGTGTAGTACAGTACTTTAGATTTGTCACCCCAAAAAGTAACTCAGATGTGGGTATCTCCCCCACATAGTGAAGGCCGATGCAAAGGATTAATTTAGCCTCTCTGCTATGGCCTTGTCTTCTTTGAGCGCTCCTTTGTTATCTAGTGGCCCCACTGGCTGTTTGGTAGGCTTTCTGCTTCTGATGTACTTACAGCAATTTTTTTTTTTGTTAGTTTTTGTGTCTTTAGCAAGTTGCTTCTCAAATTCATTGTTGGCCTGCCTCATTATACTTTTACATTTTAGTTGCCAGAGTTTGTGCTCCTTTCTATTTTCCTCATTAGGCTTTGACTTCCAAATTTTAAAGGATGCTTTTTTGCCTCTTAATGGCCTCCATTACTCTGCTGTTTAGGTTCTTGGGGTATGCAGGACTGTGAGTCACCTTGATACCCCCTTGCCTCCAGTGAAAGAGAGACTTGCTTGCGTTTAACTGGTTGTCCATTCCCTGATTTCACCAACCTGTTAGCTACCCAGTCTCCTCTGGCCTATGCAGCCCTTACTTTGCCTTGCAGAATTATAGGTGTACTACAGTCTCCAAGGCCCTTTGAAGTGTTCCCTTGTAGTGTCCAGCCCCTTATCCACTGAACGTTCACAGAAATACCAGCCCGCTGTCCCCAATGGAACAGTATACACACCAGCTTGAATGATTCAGCTAAGGATCAGCAACTTGTATAACATCACAACACTGAGATATATTTATAGTGAAAACAATGATACATTTATTATCAATGGTTTTGAGATTCATGAGCTAGTGAATAAGGATAACAAAAAAAAAAGTTATATATGAAACTATTTCTAGCAACTAAACTTAATTTAGCAGGCTAACCACCTGCCTTAAAGAATTTTCTCACCCCAAATGTTTTTTGCAGTATTTCAACCCAGTCTGATTGTGATCCTTATTTCATTCATGAAAACAGGGTCTCCTTTCCTTCTGCTTATATTCCCCAAAGTTCATTGTCTGTCCTCAGGACAGTAACTCCTCCCCTTCCCCCATTTTTACTGAGTCCTGCTTCTTCCCTGTTGACTTTGTATGTAAATAGGCCATCCATTATGTTGGCTTAAAATGCTTAATTTACATGGTGTCAGAGAGTAAAGTGAATAAACATCTTTTATTTGACAGTAAATCTGTTTGTCAACTCTGCCTTGATACAAACTATAGGAACATATTTTCAGCATACATTCGTAACTCCTTTCATAGTATCTGTACATACATTTCACAATGATATTAATTACCAGTGTGATTCTGGCTTTCATTTAAGATCTCCCATGATATTCTTTGGTGAACCAGAATGTACATACCAGAATCAGGATATTCTGGTAACCTTTTTGCCAGTTGGTATTGAGGGCATCCTGGGTCATAGCATCCTCCTTCCACTACAGGATTATCGTGAAGGAGAAGAGGGAAATGTGAATAAGAATTCCTTTAGAAATGACAAATGTCTATGAATGAGCAGTGTTTAAAAAATAAACTAACCACACATTTTCGTACCCTTTGACTTGGACAGATCCTAATTTGTCTCCAAATTAAGGGTTTTTATTACTCTAGTGACAATAGGAAAAAAAGCGAGACTTCACTTATAAGCTATATGCAGCGTGCTCTTGTGCTCCTTTCCCTTGACTCTAAACCTTATCATTTCTATCCAGAAGATCCTTTGGCTTACTCTAAAATCTGTTTAGGTTGAAGGTGGAGTCCAAATTCTTTGCATATTTAATCTTCCATTCTTTTTATCTTGTGTAGAGTTGCTACTACATTGTGTAAGGATAAACAGAGAGAGTCCCTTTTGCAAGCTAAACATTATTACCTCCTGTGATATGGATCAAAAATTAGAAATATGAATCCAAGCCACTGAAGTGGCTTTTATTTAAAGCTTTTGAAAACACTGACCTTATGAATAGGGCTAAGATTTAATCATGGGTATTTTTAGTAAAAGTCATGGACAGGTATCAAGGCTAATTCCCCACTCTGGCACTTCGAGTACAGAAGGTGGGGGGGCCCACAAGGATTCTAAAAATACTGGCCACTCCAGGCTTGTAGTAAACTCCCAAGGTTACAGCTTCTCTCTGACCTTAGATGGGTAGATGCTGCCATCACCCAAATGCAAAAAACCCCTTTGAACCCAGGAATGCGCACTTGGGAATTCCTCCCTGTGGGGTACCCTCAAACCCTTTCACCCCCCCCCTCCCCTCCAGGGAAGAGCTGAGAAAGAAAACAAAGGAAATCAGCTGTTGCCACCAGCTAATTAAACAACATATGCACAAGCCTCTTAGGACACAAAACCCAATCCTTAAAAAAAGTAAATTTTATTAAAAACAAAAAGAAAGAAAATACATCTGGAACTTAGGCTATTGCTAGGTTTTAAAAGAGGAAATATAATAATTGAGCATCAAAAATGGTTTTCTTGAGTTCCAGCTTAATGGTTATAAACAAAACAAAAGCAATTGGGGGGGTTAGCACAGAGGAGTCCACAAGCCATAAAGAGATAAACCTAATTGCGTCTTTCTGGACACTTCCTGATCTACTTATGTGTCTGGGGTTTCAAATGAGTCAGTTCTAGGTATAATGTAATGATTTTTCATACCTTGCTTAAAGCTTTTTACAGCATAGTTCCAGCCCTGTTTTTGCTCTGTCCCCTCTCTCTGGAGAACAACAGACAGACAGACCAAAGGGGAGTCTTGTTTCAATTTTTAAAAGTTCTAGTCTTCCCATTGGCTCTTTTGGTCAGGTGCCCACTCCCTTCCTTTTACCCGTGGGCATTTTTTACCCTTTACAAGTAAAGCAAGTAGAAAACAGCTACTAACAGGAATTTTGTAGCTAACTGGCTGGCTGTCCATAAAAGGGAGCTACCCCTCCTTCATTTATCCCAACAGGTCGTGGGCAATTAACAAAAATTCATGGTTTGTGACCTGTCCATGACTTTTACTATAAATACCCATGACTAAATCTTTTCTCCTAGGACACTGTTGCTTTGGGGGGCCCCTGCTCCAGCTGTTGAGGCTGACTGCCTCCAGTGGCCTGCTGCTCCGAGGCCTCTGGGGACTACTCTTCTGACAGCTTCCGAGGCCTCCCGCTCCAGCAGTCCCTGGGACCGATGCTCGGGCACTCCCCGGGGCCATCCCCGGGAATGCTGCTGCTCAGGTGCTCCCTGGGGCCAGCCACATGACTGGTGTGGCCCAAGAAGTCGCCTTGGGATATCCGAGCAGCTGGTCCAGGGTCAGCCGCACCGGCCACTGCAGCTGTGGAGTCACAAAGGTTGCAGAAAGTCATGGAATCCATGACTTCAGTGACCTCTGTGACAGAATCACAGCCTTACTTATGAACAATATGCAGTAAAAGGGGATATTAGTGAGTCTGAAAAGTACAATCTCTTAATCCCCATTTTTTATCATTCATGTCTTTTTGTTTGTCAAGCAAATTAAAGGGACATAATCAAATTGAACATCACACTTCTCTTTGGAAAATTTTAATACCTACTGTAATTACAACTTCACCAAAGATTACTAGTACTGAAAAATGTCAGTGGGTGAATTCTTTGTCAGTATATTTTTGTATATGACAGCATATTTTGTATAGTGACTTCTATTGTTTTCCCCTGCATAATCAATTACGTTGTGATCCTGCAAACTGCTCCTGTACCACATTGAACACCATTAAAGGCAATGGAGTTCAGTATGAATGCAGGGATTCACCTGAACTGAGCAACTTGTCAGATCAGTGCTGACCTTAGTCAGCTTCTTTCTTGCTGAAAAGTCTCTAATAAACATCATCAGGGAAACAGAGAATCTCTCTTTTAAAAAATCCTCTTAATTTTTTTTTAAAACTCAAGAGCCTACTATTCAAAGGGTGCTCTGTTGGAAGCTGGAGTATTTCAAAATTGTTGGATTTGGAAAAAAAAAAAAGGGTTGACATAGTCTCTTTTTAAAGTTGTGAGAATTCAGTTTGCTCATTCCTCCTGTAATGTGCTGTAAGAAACGTTCAAATGGAGGTAGTGGTTCTTAGTTCTTTAAAAACTACTTTTTAGCAACAAAGTACTATCAGAGTTTTGACCAAGAGGTCTGGAATTATAATCACCTGTTCTGACAGAAATGGGCTTCTATAAGATGAGCTTTCAGCAAATTAGGTAAAACTTGACTTACAGTAACAGGAAGAAGCACTAGAGCATAGATCTGAAAGTCAGGTCTGTGTTATCTATACTTCTGCTTTTGGAAGGAACCTAAATGAAAGTGTAAGCTGTGTTTGGTCTATGTAGAACAAAGATTTTGCTACATGTGTCTAGAATTGTGAGACAAATCTAAGGCAGCACTGTGACTATAATGTGTATTGCCAGTATTTTAAATCATGTTTATAGGAGCAAAAATGTTAGCCAGTATTTCTGAAAACTTGCACATTTACACTTCATCTTTTTGTGAAGGAATGGGAAGCTCAGCCTTGAATGCTCTGAACATACTAATGCTTCTGGAAAAACTAAAATCAGTTCCTCAGTTAGAAGCACAGAAGGATATGATCAACTGGATACTGCAGGTAAACAATGCAGAAGCCAAGTGTGATTTGGCTTTAACAATTGAGCATTTTTAAAGAAAGAAGTTTGTGACTGCTTTAGCTAATGCAGTAGACACTGTTCACACCTGCCGTGATCTCTTAAGTATCCTACTGCGTTGAAAAGCTTATTTTTTTCAGTTGCTGAGATGAGATTTTTTTTTCTTATGTACACCACATGCTAATACAGAATCGAGTGCATGAAGGGGTTACTACTTAAAATTTTATAAGTCAAAATTTTAGCTAAATAATATTTAGTAGTGACTTTTTAAAAAAACTTTCCAATTGCCTTAAATAACTCAGTATTTATATTTCTATAACTTCATTATTCAAGATATTTTAAATAGTAGAGAAGTAAAGAAGCTTTGGTGACACATCTGTCTGTATTAGTAAAATTGGAAAGTTTTTTAAGGTCTGTTAAAATCTTTTTTTTTTTTTTTGGAGAGGGTTAAACACTTTGTGGAATCAGTCTTCAAATTAAATGGCTAAAGTGGAAAATTACTTTATAAAAAGCACAAAGTTTTTAAATGGTGTATAAATTAAATTTAAAATGTTTAAATTAGAGGTTTTTTAGGATTTCTGATAAGATAAGAAAATTGTTGGACCAACAAATCCAAACTTAAAAGTACAACCTTAACTTTCACAATTTTTGTTTTTTTAATGGGATGTTGGATCAATATATGGGTTTGTTTGCGTTTAATTTTCTATATTTTTTTTAAAAAGAGGAAAATCTGAGGCTGCAGTTCAAAGGCAATTTCCAACTGTAGATTTTTGTTGTTGTTTTAGTGTTGTCTAATTCACCTTCAGTCAAATGTCAGTCTCTGAAATTGTTAGACAAAAGACTAATGTCTCCAAGTTAGAAATATGTGAAATTGAAGATGTAATTCCCCCTCTGCCCCCCCCCTAAAAAAAAACCTGCTATAAAAATTCATTTAACATAACATTAACCTAACCTGACATTCCACAAAAAGGAAGCAGCTGGTATTCTTTTTATGAAACTGAGTAGCAAGAAGAAATATGCATCAAGTTTCATAAAGGGAAAAGTGGTTTAATATTAAGGTGTGCTGAGGATGTCTATCAAATGATCCTTTTGATAGTGTTTCAGAAGCATAGTGTTGATATTTAAAGTTGAGGCTAATTCTCTAAAACTGAATAACTGAGGCCTTGGCTACACTGGCGCTGTACAGCACTGCAACTTGCTGCGCTCAGGGGTGTGAAAACGCCCCCCCTCCCCCGAGCGCAGCGAGTGCAGCACTGTAAAGCGCCAGTGTAATCTGCGCCTGCAGCGCTGCACGCTCACTTGCAGCGCTGCACGCTCACTCGCAGCACTGCAAGCTACTCCCCTCGGAGAGGTGGAGTACATAGAGTGCTGCGAGAGCGCTGGCGGCACGCTACACTTACGCTTCACAGCGCTGCTGTGGCAGCGCTGGGAATTCCCAAGTGTAGCCAAGGCCTAAGATTACTGTGCAAGATGAGGATTAGGGAAGAGGTTGTCTTAAGAAATTTGTCATGGGTTAGAGAGCCTTTCACCTCTGGGTTTGCTAGTTTAAAGAATGTGCTGGACAGTAGTACTGAACATTATTACCACCTGATGTCCCTTTAGTAGCCTGTATGAAATGATTTAGCATTGGAGATCATTTCTTAGTGAATAGAGATTCTTATGACAGAACATCACACTAATTTCTACTAATTAGCATCCTTGTTAGTAGTTTTCACAATGGCTAAGGACTGAATAGACCAGAGAAACTGAACTACGCTCTCACATCTAGAGATGCTCTTTCCAGTTGTGGGGTTGGAGGCACATTGGTATTGTGGGAAAACTTGCACTGACTCAGTAGAGGCTTTCCATACTTTGATAGCTCCAAGTACATTTTTAGTAACATGAAATTCTCAAAAAATGTTTAACCTTTTAACAGCCGTTAGGTTCAGTTATACGGCATGCACAATCCAGTCACATTTTATATTCTCTTAACACCTAAATCTCTATTCCCAGATGTTTGACACAGTGAAACGATTGAGGGAAAAATCAAGTTTAGCAACAGCAGCAACTACATCAGGATCAGAAACTACAAAAGGCGATGAGGTAATAACAAACAGGGAAGGAACTGAAGAAATGTTCCACAGGGAGACATTTGTATTTCCAGATTTAAGGACCAATTTTCAAACACAAGTGCTTAAATGTAGGTACCTAAATCCATATTTGAGCATCTAAATACCAGTTTTAGGCATTAAGTGATGATATAATGTCTTATACATTACTGGTATTCTGGGGTATATTAACAGGAGTGTTGTCAGAAAAATATGAGGGATAATTGTCCTGCTCTACTCAGCACTGGTGAGGCCTCAGCTGGAGTATTGTGCCCAGGTTTGGGTGCCACACTTTAAGAAAGATGTGGACAAATTGGAGAAATCCAAAAGATTAATAAAAAAGATCAAAGGTTTAGAAAACCTGACCTATGATGAATGGTTAAAAAAATCAGTATATTTAATCTTGAGAAAAGAAGACTGAGAGGGGACCTGAAAACAGTTCAAATTCATTATAAAGAGGAGAGTGATTGTTCTCCTTGTCCACTGAAGGTAAGACAAGAAGTAATGGGCTTAAGCTATAGCAGGGGAGATTTAGATTAGATATTAGGAAAAACTTTCTAACTACGGTACAAGGACAGTTAAGTACTGAGATGGAGATTTCACAACCTATCTTTGGAGGTTTTTAAGAACTGGTTAGACAAATGCCTATCAGGGATGGCCTAGGTATACTCAGTCCTGCCTCAGCCCAGTGGGCTGGACAAGAGGACTCCTTGAGGTTCCTTCCAGTTCTATGATTCTGTGGTTTAAGTAATTAAATCCAAAGTTAGATATGCAAGTTTGAAAAGTAGGTGCTTACTGTGCACTTGTTTCACCCTGATAATGATAGCTACAAGGTTTCCATAGAGAATTTGTTACAGTACAACAACTGCAAAAGAACAAGAAGAAATCTCTTTCCTCTGACCACTAACTCTACTACATGCCAACATTTAGTTGGAATTTGGTAAATATTTAATGTGTGCTTCCTTGGGCCATAGGTGGAGATGTAAGGGATGGTGCATGGTTTATGATTTATGCAGTGTTGTAGCCGTATTGGTCCCAGGATATTAGAAAGACAAGGTGGGTGAGGTAGTATCTTTTATTGGACCGACTTTTGTTGGTGGGAGGGAGAAGCTTTCAAGCTTACGCAGAACTTTTCTTCAGGTCTGGAAAATATACTCAGAGTAGCACAGCTAAATACAAGGTGGAACAGTTTACTTAGCATAGTAGTTAACACATATTTCAAGGGACCATTCAAGCTGAAGTGGCCCGCTGAAACCCCTCCCATCATAGGGAGGTAAGGAGGGGCAGGGGGAAGCAGCTGGGGGTTTGTTAGTGGGTTATGGATTGTTGTAATAAGCCATAAGTCCAGTCTTTCTCTTCAGTTGATAATTTTTAGTGTCTAGCAAGGTTATGAATTTAAGCTCCCAGGCTCGTCTTTTGAAAGTATTGTGCAGGTTTTCTTTGAGGATGAGGACTGATATCTCAGATGTAGAATGTAAGTTCATTCAAGATCATAGTGCTTGTCTGGTTTCACCTACATAGTTGTAATTGGGGCATTTAGGGCAAAGGATGACATAAATCTCATGTTGTGATAGGCTTGTGTAGGACTCCTGGATCTTGGAAGGTGTTTGATCATTGTAGTGGAGATATATCTGCAGGTTTTGCATCTATTCTGGCAATGTCTGCTGCTTTGAGTTGGTGTCCTGGTCTCTGGGGAGCTTGCTTCTAATGATGAACTTGGAGAGGTTGGGGCAGGAGGTTGTTTGAAGGCCAGAAGAGGTGAAGATTTCTTTCATTATGGGGTCCCTATTGAGTTTGGGTTGTAGTTGTTTGATATCCCATATGGGTTTCAGTGTAGGGTAATATAAGGGGTCAGACTCACCCCTGTGGCACCTCCAACTGGTCTCTCAGGGAATTAGCTCGATTTCCAGCCTGGAGCACCCTCTGCACGCCGGTGATCCGCCTTGTCACTGGCCCCCATGTCCCTCCCAGGACCTTGGTGCCCCTTTCTCTGGGTGCTGCCCCCCTGGCAGTACCCACACACTCTGGGTCTCCCCTCCCAGGGGAACCCCCACCCACTAACCCCACCTCGCCTCAGTGTAAGGCTACTGCCAGTCACCATCTAGCCCCACTCCCTGGGGCAGACTGCAGTGTCAGCCACTCATCACAGGCAAGGTTGGGTTTGGACCTGCTGCCTTTGCCTACCCCTGGGCTGCCCTCTGCAACCCCCAGTACCTGTTGGCCCAATGCTAGGCCACCGCCTGGGCTTTCCAGGCTGGAGCTCCCCAGCTCCTCTGCCTTTCCCCAGCCCTGCTCCACTCAGGTATCCTGTCTCAAGCTCCCTGAAGCCAGGCCCTTCTCTCTCTGAATGCAGAAAGTGAGTGTCTCCTTGCTCCTGGCTCAAGCCTTTATAGGGCCAGCTGGACTCTGATTGGGGCGTGGCCCAGCTGCAGCTGCTTCTCCCAATCAGCCCAGCTCTTTCCTTCCACAGCCCCAGCCCTCTGCAGGGCTGGCTTTAACCCTTCCCAGGCAGGAGCAGGTGACCACCCCGCTATAGGTAGCAAGTGATAACTGGGGTGTGCAGTTGGAGGGAGTTTTATTTCTGTATTGAAGCAGGTTCTCTTGAGATACTTGAATGGCCTGTTCCATGATGCAATCTACTTCTCTGGTGGATTGGCCTTCTTTGGTGAAGTTGGTTTTGAGGCTGTTAAGGTGTATATCCTGGACTTTCTGCTCAGAGTGCCTGGCTGTACATAACTGATTTTTTGGGATGGTTACTGGATCTCTGAAGGTAGGTGTGGCGATATATGGGTTTCTTGTGTATATATTTTGTCTGTAGGGTTCTATTATTGAAGCTGATCGTGGTGTCCAGGAAGTTGATGCTCGTGTGGAAGTGTTCAAGAGAGAGTTTAATGGACGGGTCGTGGTTGTTGAAATTGTGATAGAAATTTGTGAGGGAGCTTAAGTCATCTGTCCAGAGGATGAAAATATCATTGGTTTTGTGGTGTATTTGTCCAATGCTGAGAAATACGGGTCCGCTTAAAAACAGCTGTAAAATTTACACAAGCCATCAGCAGGTCAATCTTCTAATCTGTTTCAGACCATCAAAATGTAGCTCTGACTTGATAAACTGTAAGATCTACTCAACATTTGGCTAACGCTGGTAAAAGGGTGAACAAGAATTGGGCTGCTTAGATTACACTGTAGAAGTCAGGTTATTTTGATGACTTCTTCTTTTGCAAGGGTATTGTGTAATTTTGAATTGGGGTCTTAAGTAAATAAAGGATGACCGGTGTTTCAGATGTTTTAATTAAAACTTTCCGTATTTTTGAATTCATAGACATGTTCTACTAATGCCTTGAGAGCCTAATCAGCTTTTAAGATTTGTTTTACAACTTTTAGATTGTTTTGGGGTTTTGTTTGTTGTGTTTTGTTTTACCATCATGGGATGCACAGTTTATTGGGAAATTTGATGGGAGCAATTAGAATTCTACTTTTGAGAATACTACTTGGTATTTTTTTAGTTGTTCTTCTTAATCTATAATTTTTACTACTGTTTCCTAATAAGACTCCGAGCACTCAAGACAAAGAGAAGGCTGAACGAAAGAGGAAGGCAGAAGCTGCCAGGCTGCATCGCCAGAAGATAATGGCCCAGATGTCTGCTTTACAGAGGAATTTCATTGAAACTCATAAACTCCTGTATGAACACACACAAGAGACACAGGGAAGAGAGGACTCTGTTATGGAGGAGGAGAGGTGAGATGAGACAGATATCCAGAGTTCTGATGAAAAAATTAATTTCCTAATAAGTGGTTATAGCTACATAAGGTTTAATAGTACAATTGATGGATAAAGTGCATCATCCCAATCAATAACCCTGTATCTCTTACTACTTACATTTTTCAATGCCCTGGATTAGAGAATCCTGTGTAAATTAGCAGCTAAATACTAATATCAGAAGGCCAAATCAGTTAGGGAGACACCAGACCTGCTTGCTACATAAGATGAACTATGGAAATATATTCTTCAGGTAAAAGATATGTTACCTAACATTTCAGAAAACAATGACTTCATTATAAAACACCCCTAATTGATATTACTATAGTTTAGGTGATAATGGGCTTTCCTTTTTGAAGACCTAATTTGAGTGTTTAATTCAGCAGAATCTTAACATACAAGGTCCTGCCCAGAAGCCGGTATTTTTGAAAGTTAAGTTGGAAAAAAATAACTTATTGCACTCATAACCCAATGTGATTTTGTACGTCATTAATCCCTAGAATTGTTTGGTCTCTTTATAATTGTAGAAGGAAAAGAAATAGACTTTAAAAAAAAAGTCATATTTTAAATGGCTGGATAATGTTATGATCAGCAATCACATGTAATTACACATCACAGGATAGAGATACTCAAATCCTGTGCTGTAGTGCACAGACTGATCACTATAAGGTTCAGGAAAAAAGTCCTCTTGTACAGCATTTATTTGCCTAGGTGCATTGTGGATTTCTTTTGCCTTCCTTTGAAGCATCAGATACTGGCCACATTAGTTTCTGAATTTGATGGACTAATGATCTGACCCAGTATGGCAAATCTTGCTTTTACTGCACAGGGCAGTAATCCTTTGTTCCTCATTTTGTAGTATTTATAATGAAGACTTCGTACTTATCCATCTCTTTTAGTCCCTATGTTCTCTTTGCTATCTGGTTACGTTATAGTCTATCTGCTAAATTTTAGTCATGTGAAGTGTGGGGTTTTTGTTTTATTATTTTAAAGCTGGTCTAGTGGGAACAAAATGTGCTCCGATTCAGGGGACTGAAATTCAGATTCAATCACAATAGGAAGCGTCTCCTGTCATCCATGAGTGACTGTGTCTAGTTGATGCTAGTAGTAGAATTGTCAGGCTTGAGTAAGAGCAATGGTGACTGTGCATGTGCGAGACAGAGAGAGAAAGAGTGCTCCAAGTTTGCACTACAAAATTTGTCAATCTGGGTTGTAATGAGACATAATTTATGTCTGATATAGCTGTGCTGGCGAAAGTTTCTGCTGTAGAGGCAGTTAAACAGTCAAAACTATGTGTTAGCCAATGTAGCTTATTTTGCTTGGGGAGGAGGGCCTGGAATAAATTATGCAAGTAAAAATACAATTTTGCCAGCATAAGCTGTGTCCAGACCAGGAGCACTTTTATACTATTACCAGCATAGCTATATTGACAAAGCAGTCCTACTGTAGACCTGGCCTAATGTCTGATTTGTGAAAAAGAGGGTGCATAAGATAAAAGGCAGAGAACAAGATAACTGAGATGAATGACCAAAAACTAATGCAGTAATTTCTGCCTGTTTTGTCATTTAAAAATTCAAGTTCTGTAAGACATCCTCAAACATGTAAATGCAAGGAAGCACCCTCTTAACTATTTCTCATTACATCTTGCCTGAAAAATGGAAGTAAATGTGTGGCATCATCAAACAATAAATGGGATTTATTTCAGTATACCATAATAGATAACTGCCATATTCCGTCTTAAAGATGGTTGCATTTAGTGGTGACTGAAGCGATTCTGGTACATTTATGTAAGGGTTTTTGCAGTAACTTTACTGTTAAATAAAAGCGGTAAATTGTAGTTTTAGATGCCTTCAAGAGGATCTTTATTTCTTTACAGGGAGCCTGCTAATTGTTTGTTGATCTTTGTCTTTGATGTTCTTACAGCATACCTTTGGCCATTGATTCTTCCAGAATTGCCTTGGGACCCAAGCGAGGTCCATCTATTACTGAAAAGGAAGTGTTGACCTGTATTCTATGTCAGGAGGAGCAGGAAGTGAGGCTGGAGAGTGCTGCGATGGTATTATCAGCTTGTGTCCAGAAATCCACTGCCTTAACTCAGCACAGGGGGAAAACTCTTGAACTCTCAGGTGGTAGGTGTATCTCTTCAGCTAAGAATATCAGCCATTGCTGTTCTCTTCTTAGAACTCACTTCAGTTATGTTTAATTAACACTTTCAGCCAATCAGATTACTGAATAGTTACTTTTTTTAATGAAAAGTTAGTTAAGAATTTTAGTCATGTATTTTAGATGGGCTTAAAATCCTTGCCATAAAACTAAAAATCAGCTGTGGAGGAGAATTTACTGCCATTCTCCCTTGTAAAACAAAGATGAATTCCATGTGTACATGACTCCTACTTTGAGTAAATAAAACGGTACAGATTAATCTTCCAAATTTGCTGAAGCAGTTGAGTTCTCTTCCTTAAACTGAAGAGCATGTATTCTAGCTATGAAGATACAAAATGAGTGGCTATTTCTCTCTTGTATATTGATCCAACTGTAGAAATTGATTTTTAATTAGCTGTCCCTGTCTTGTTATAAACCACAACCAGTCATCTGTACAAATCCCGCTTATTCAGGTTTATTAACATAAACACAACAAGAATAGCCCAAACATTGGAATCTTTCAGTCACAGATTCCGTGACTTCCACAACCTCCATGACATAATCTTAGCCGTAGCGATACCCAATGGCTGAGATGAACTAGGGCATCCCACCAACAGTCTGGCCACTGGGGCAGTGGCAGATGCCACTACAGTGGCCATTCTGGAATTCCTGGGCTTTTCAGCCAGTCCAGGGTCTACACTCAAGGAGGTCCTACTCCATTGCATTGGAGTCAAGAGCTCTTGCACCACCTACCTTGGAGCAGGGACCAGGCCTCGATACCAAACCCGGTACCAAACTGCAAGATCCAGCACCAAAGGATTTAGCTGGTGCAGAGGCTGAGGAACAAGGCTCCTTACTCCTCTTCCTCCTCTCCCAACGAGACAATGGTGGAAAAAAGGTATAGCACCTTCCCAGGATGATTACAGGACGCACTGGGAGCTCCTCAGGAGGGTAGCCCAGAACCTGGGTATCCAGGTGGAGGAGATCCTACTATCCTTCCACGCCCGGGTGGACATCTTAGCAGCTTCAGGGCCATCATGGGTGGCTCTGGCTATGAACGATGCCATTTTGGATCCCATCAAGGCCTTATGGCAGACCCCTGTGTCCCTCCAACCTACTGCAAAGAGGATGAAGAAAAAGTATTCTGTTCCTCCCAAGGGGTATGAATTTATGTCCACACATTTTCCCCACCACCACTTGGCTCAGTTGTTTCAGCGGAAAATGATCAAGAGCAGCAAAGGCTGACTCCTAAGGCCTAAGATGCCAAAAAACTAGACCTTTTTGACATGAAGGTGTACTCAACTGGCGGCCTCCAGTTCAGGATGGCAAACGAGCGAACGCTCCTGAGCCAGTATCAGGGCCGGCTCTAGGCCCCAGCAAAACAAGCTGGTGCTTGGGGCGGCACATTTTTAGGGGCGGCATGGCCGGCGCCAGAATGCTGCCCCTAAAAATGTGCCCCGGCCGCCCTAGCTCACCTCCGCTGCTGCTGCCACGGCGCGCGAAACAGCTGATTCGCGCGCCGCTACTCGCCCTCCCTCCCAGGCTCTCAAGCCTGGGAGGGAGGGGGAGCAGCGGCGCGCGAAACGGCCACTCGGGATCTCCCCCCCCCCCCCCCCAGCCTCACAGGCGGGGGAGGGAGGGGGAGCAGCGGCGCGCGAAACGGCCACTCGGGATCTCCCCCCCCCCCCCCCCAGCCTCACAGGCGGGGGAGGGAGGGGGAGCAGCGGCGCGC